GACCTCATGACCTTATTGACCATTTCAAGTTATTAGCATTCTGCTAAATAAGGGGTTCTAGATCTCAGTAGCACACAAAAACTCCTTGTTTGCAAAATTAATGTTTCCTCTTGATCTCAGGTGAGGAACCTGTTTTTTGTTTTTGTTTATTTAATTACAATTTTTGAATTCTATTGAATATAACCCGAGAAGATTTTTTTTACCTTACAGAAAAATGTACCCAACATAATTTTATTCATTTTATGGTTTGTAAATGTATGTGAGTTTATTTTTTTCTGATCTATAGCCAAATGTCCAGGAAAGAAAAGGAAAATCTAAAAAATTCTGTTTCAATTCAATTTAAATACAATTGTTAAGTAAATTTATTTCGCAAGTTTTTCACAGCATATAATCTCTCTGTCTCTCTCTGTTCATGCAACATCTGACCAGTGTAATTTTAATAATACATATTTAGTTTTGTCAAAATTTTAAATGAAACATTTGTTGTTTTAACAGTTTAGTTCATGGTAACTAAGTTTATTAAATAATGTTAACAAATAAAATATTATTGGAAAGTGTTACCATTTTTAAAAATATGTCTGTGTATTTTTAGTCAAAGTATTTTTACTGTTATAATTTTATTTAACAGTGAAAACCCCTAGATCTGCAAAACACACTGACCCAATAATACATCCTGTCAGTTCAGAAGGTATTTTTAAATCCTCTAAAAGCATTTCAAAAAGATACTGCAAGAGTTTTTTTTTTCCCTGCAAACAGATATGAATAAGACAACGCCTGTGAGAATGAGTTTCGGCAGAGCCCTTTCGCCTCATATATTGTTCTTTTTAATTGCAAGGAGTTCCGGTGAGTCTAAACAACACTGAACATTCCTGATCACTGACTTTCACATTCTGTAACATATAACATTTCAAACGGGGATTACATTGTGCTTTACAGGATGAAACAAATATGCAACCGAGCTGGTTCCAGAAAAGTAAATGCAGAGTTTCAAAGCTGTGAAGACTAATAAAATAAGTTTCAGCCTAATGTTCTTTTGTTTATAAAGTTCAGAGTTTTGCAGTATTATCTGACTCAAATGATCTAAAAAAAATGTTTCATGTCATCTTAGGTTGAAACTCAGTGACCTGAATGATTACATGGAGAAGGCTCGAAAATATGAGTGAAGAAGGCTTTAAGTTTATGCTGTCCTCGCATGCAAACTACAAGTTAGTTAATCTGAGTTTCAGTATGATTCTCTTTATACTTTCAGATTTACAGCATTTATTGTAGTTTGTTTGTTAGCATATCAGTGGCATGATCTAAACTAAAAAATGGCTTAATAGAAACAGAAGTTTCTATTTACCTTTTTAAATTGACTGAAGCATGACACTCTGAAAAGTATTTTGATGTGCTGTATGTCTTGACATACATACACCGGCCACTTTATTAGGTACACCTGTCCAACTACTCATTAATGCAAATTTCTAATCAGTCGATCACATGGTAGCAACTTAATGCACTTAGGCATGTAGACATGTTCGAGATGGTCTGCTACAGTTCAAACTGAGCATCAGAATGGGGAAGAAAGGTGATTTAAGTGATATTTGAATGTGGCATAGTTGTTAGTGCCAGACAGGCTGCTCTGAGTGTTTCAGAAACTGTAGATCTACTGGGATATTCACAAACAACCATCTCTAGGGTTCACAACCTACCTGAGTATTGTTGCTGACCATGTCCATCCTTTTATGACCACAGTGTACCCATCTTCTGATGGCTACTTCCGGCAGGATAACGCGCCATGTCATAAAGCACAAATCATCTCAGACTGGTTTCTTGAACATAGCAATGAGTTCACTGTACTCAAATGGCCTCCACAGTCACCAGATCTCAATCCATTAGAGCTGTTGATATGGTGGAACATGTACTGCCGACAAATCAGCAGCAACTGTGTGATGCTATCATGTCAATATGGACCAAAATCTTTGAGAAATATTTCCAGTACCTTGTTGAATCCATGACATGAAGGATTAAGGTCGTTCTGAAGGCAGAAGTGGGTCCAACCCAGTACTAGCAAACTAGTAAGGTGTACCTAATAAAGTGGCTGATGAGTATATATATAAGGTCGCTGATTCGAACCTCGGCTCAGTTGGCGTTTCTGTGTGGAGTTTGCATGTTCTCCCTGCCTTCGCGTGGGTTTCCTCCGGGTGCTCCAGTTTCCCTCACAGTCCAAAGACATGTGGTACAGGTGAATTGGGTAAGGTAAAATTGTCCGTAGTGTATGAGTGTGTGTGTGAATGTGTGTGTGGATCTTTCCCAGAGATGTATATACATATATATATATATATATATATATATATATATATATATATATATATATATATATATATATATATATATATATATATATATAATTTTCCCAAATTATGTTTAACAGAGCAAGGAAATTTTCACAGTATGTCTGATAATACTTTTTCTTCAGGAGAAAGTCTTATTTGTTTTATTTCGGCTAGAATAAAAGCAGTTTTGAATTTTTCATGAACCATTTTAGGGACAAAATTATTAGCCCCTTTAAGCTATATATTTTCTTGATAATCTACAGAACAAACCACTGTTATACAGTAACTTGCCTAATTCCCCTAACCTGCCTAGTTAACTTAATTAACCTAGTTAAGCCTTTAAATGTCTCTTTAAGCTGTATAGAAGTGTCTTGATAAATATCTAGTAAAATATTATTAACAGTCATCATGGTAAAGATAAAATCAATCAGTTATTAGAAATTAGTTATTAAAAATATTATATTTAGAAATGTGTTGAAAAAATCTTCTCTTTGTTAAACAGAAATTGGGGATAAAATAAATAAGCGGTCTAATAATTTAGGGGGGCTAATAATTCTGTGTGTGTGTATATATATATATATATATATATATATATATATATATATATATATATATATATATATATATATATCAGCTTCAGGCAACAAGAATTGTCCTATTAGTTGCATAATGTTAAATAGTCTGTTGTGACACATCTGATATTATATAACATAACACAGGCATCAAATTTCATACAAACTTAAGAAGAAACTAAAGTTACCAAGAGTCAGTCAGATTTTTCAGTAACCAAGAACTGTCAAATCAGCAAGTATCTTTAGTTACAAGAACTATGATGCTATTTCCTCATGTTCAGCTGAAGTTCTCAAGCACTGATTGCTCCACATTATTATTGCTCATCTTCAACCACTCTTGAGATTTGTCAAAAGACTAATGTTTGGAGCACCTACACAGACTGCTAAGTACAAAGAAACAAAGATTTACATTAAAGAGATTGTGGATGATTTTCGTTTTTATTGAGATCTGTTCATCATTTTAATATCCTCTTTGTCTTGCTCTATTATTTGACAGAGCACTGCTTGGTCATCTTTTGGATTTTTTTCCTTGTGTGTGCTGCCCTCTTGTGGATCTTGTCAAAAAACGTTATTATTATTATTATCAAAGTAATGAATGAAATTCGAAGAAAGTTATCCATAAATATTATAGAGCGATATACAATTTAAACGAATGATGATAGTAATAATTTTGTATGTGTGAAAGTTTTGGTGTTTTATCATTTCCAACTCTTCGTACTGCAAGCTTGAATCATTTACTTATCTAAACGTGTTGAGAACAAGAAGGGTTATATATTGTAAACTGTTTGGGGGAAACGCTGCATCGAGACTAACAACTACAAAACTGCGACTCTGGTGGGACTCGAACCCACAACCTTTGAATGGCCACATCCAATCTAGAAGTCCAATGCGCTATCCATTGCGCCACAGAGCCGGCTGAGCATTCTGGTTTCGGGTGACTTTTTCATGCCAGGTTTACATGGCGAACACTTTAGGTTGTACGTAGACTGAAACACAGAGTCTGGTTAAAAATTCAGAAACACTGTCTGGCTGTTTAAGATGAGCTAAGAGCAACTTTGATAAAGTTGTGCAAAGAAACCCCCAAAAGTGGCGGAAGGAATGCAATGCAACACGTGGCTTCTGGGGGCTTATGCCACATGGAAAAGCTCACATTCAATTAGGCACCGCTGGGATTCGAACCCAGGATCTCCTGTTTACTAGAGAGGCGCTTTAACCATCTAAGCCACGGCGCCGACCTGCACATATTTATTGGGGTCTCCAGGTCTCCGGGAATATGAGGAGAAAGCTTGTTTGCATGTCTTCCCCTCCCCTTTTTGCTCAAAACCTGATTTTTCTGAACATTCCAGGTTGTTTTTAAAACGTTTCAAACACACAACCTTGATGATTTGACTGGGAAGGTCTCTGGATGACACATTTCCTCCTAAACAGTTACATTATAAAATTATATAAAATGTCTTAAACATAAAACTTTAAAATCAACTTAAATAAAACAGGTGCATTTTTAACTGCATATTTAGCTTATTTTTATTTATTTAAAATAAATAAATAGAGATGTGGTCGAGTAGTCAGTGGCCCGTTACAAACAAACTTAGAAAATCCTGCTGTTTAGAAGAATAGCGCCCCTGGTGGTTGAGAAAAACCGATGCTGCCTTACACTTTACAACAAATGTTAATTCTGAACACGTCTGTGTAACACAAATGCTGGATCAGTTGGTGGTTCATTCCGCTGTGAATAAAGTGACTAAGCCGAAGGAAAACGATTGAATTAGTGAATGAAAAGCAAGTGTATTGATTTTAAGTGTATTTTTTGTAAAACCACAGTTTATTTGCCTTCAAATACCAGGGTTAAACTATGGTAATTATACTAAAACTATGTTTACTTTAATCCTTTTAATCATTTTTCTATTATTAATTATTTTAAAATATATATTAATCAATTTTGTACATTCGGTTATAACATGATAATACCATGCTAACTATCTTATTATAAAATATGACAATCTTGCAATATCAGACTGTATCTGCCAAAAAAAACACATACCGCTGTAGGGGGCGTTTTTATCCCTTTTTCCTGGTTTTGGAGGGGAGAGAGCGGGATTGGAGGAAGCGAATCCATCTGTACGCAGTTCTCGCCGCTTCCGTTCCGTCTGTCGGAGGATCCTGCAATTCTTTATAAACTTGGGAACTGTACGCGATGGACGAATGCTAAAAGCGCCACATGTTTCCGCTTACCCCGTTTCTTTCCAATTTTACTTCTTTGAAGCTATAAAAACTTCCCTATATCAGCACAAGAGAGCATTCATTTCTCAGAAACGACGTCCTGAGGTAAGAAGCACACGTTTGTTTGTAGCAACAGTGTTACGGAGCATGGGTGGATCTTAAATAGGAAAGATGGGTTGTTGTTTGGTATGAGAATGTACTTTTAAAATGTTTTAGATATCATAGGAGTCATAAGAATACTTGAAAACCTCATTCGGGTGGTGTTTGTTATAGAGAACAGTAGAAGTGGATATAAAAGCTGCACTACATATAACTTATGGTCAATAACGCTTTAAAACAAATTAACTTAGGGGTTTTTCTTTGTTCACAGATTTACTTCAGGATTAACGAACTGCAGATTAGTGTTAGTCATCTTCACCCATTCCGCTCCACTGACCCAACAGACAACTATTTAACGTTATTAAAACCAACTAGTTCCTAACGAACATGCTTGTTTTTCAATAACTGTAATATTTACATGTTAAAATGTTTAAAACAACAGCACGTCATTTTATTCCTGCACGTTTTCTTTGAGCAGCCATTACTCATTTCTTCCTTAATGGTGTGCCATGTTACAAAATGCCAAACTGTGATTCATAACTGTTTCTCCTGTAGAAGCATCATTATGAGTGTACTGCCCCCTGTACGAAAAGACCGCATAATCGGACAGCTTCCTAAGGTAAGTATTTCTCACACAAGTCACTCAAAATTAAAAATGTACTGTTGATTTACTCACCCTCGGGTCATGCAAGCTGTAGGTGACTTATTTAGTGAAACATTTTTTTAATATGAAACTTTTGATACTTCTTGATGCACAAATCACTCAGTCAACTGCTACAAGCCATTTGAGAGTAAAACAACAAACAAATGGGCCTACAGGCAAAACAAAATAAATATGTTGCTCCTGATGATACACTGAGATCTTATGAATCAACATAATAAGTCTGTGCAAAAAATTAACTTTATTTAACATGGTTAAAATAGAAATCATTAGAACTGTCTTGAGTACCTTCTTGACAATCAGTAGCACGAGCATCCTGTTGCGTTATAACTAGAGCTGCACAATATATCGTTTAACATCAATATCACAATTTGCACATCTGCAATACTCAATTCACAGGATCTGCAATGTGAAATCAGGGTTATGGTTGAACAGGCTCCACTCAGCACATCGTTTGTGAAGTTGTTGCAATGTTTAACCCTGAAACAGAGAAAGTTGATCATTTGCTTGTGTTGTTGACTTGTAGCTTAAACTTTTTTAAAGATGTATTGTAGTTTTTTATCCGTATGATGATTATACAGTGTCATTTTACATTTTATTATTATCATAAACTTATTATTCTCCTTAAAAAAACATAAAGAGCTGTAAACAGTGATACAATTTAGGGCTGCACGATACTGGAAAAATTACACTTTGTGATATTTTGTATTCTGCTATATATATTGCCATATGAATACAAGATCCCTACACGAGTCGAATTAACGTTTGTAAAGAATATTATTTTAGATCGATTGGGAAGATTCTGTAGGGGAGTGCATAAAATATGTTTATTTGTATAGCACTTAAACACAATAAGTATTGTATAATAGGCATAATATTTATATTGTTGAGCACAATATTTGTACACTGTAAAAAATGCAACTTACAGATTGTTAACTCAGTTTAAAATTGTAAGTTGGATGGACACATTTTTGAGCTCAGAGTTAAATTTACTCATAAAAACGATTAAACTGCATGTTTGGAACTGTTTGTTCAATGAAAGTTAAAAAATCAGTTGAGGAGACTTTGAATTTTTAATTCTTCATTTGAGCATTTACCACTGTAAAAAACAAAAAGCTGAGTTAACTATAAATTTTACAACAACCGGCTGCAAAAAAATGTTGAGTTTATTAAGCTTCAGTGGTTGATGTTGTGCCAAATTATTTTAAAAAGCATGCTTGACTTAAAACGGCCTCTTCAATCAACTTAAAAAAAAAGAATTGGCACAAATGTAACCACTGAAGCTTAATAAACTCAACATTTTTTTGCAGCCGGTTGCTTTAAGATTTTAAGTTAACTCAGCTTTTTATTTTTTACAGTGTATAATGAACAATCTTCAAGCATAGATAAATTCAATAAAGAAACATTTGTTAATTAAATAAACAGTGTTTTATTGTTTTCCAAAGAGGTAAAATGTATTCAGCTATACAGTAATTGAATAATCAAATGTAAAATAATAAAGCATTGGCTTTGTTTTATAAGCAATTGCATAAGATTATTTATTATTATTTTTCAGTTACAAACGGTACTTTTTCTTATGCCTGAATGCTTTTAAAACCCTCACACAGTCACAGGCCTCAAAAAACACTTGCAAAGTGATAATTTATAATCCAGACTCTACTTTGCATTAACTTGCGGATGTGTATTGCGATTGATCACATTGCGATATAGATGCTGAAACAATTTATTGTGCAGCCCTAACACAATTATTATTAAACCTATTTCATTTGCCTCTTTGCTGTATTGTGTTTGTGCTTGTGATTTATTATATTTTAAGCTGATGCTCTACAAATGTTAAAGGCATGTTAAAGGACACAGAAACAGTGTTAACAAATACAAATCACAGCAGAAAAAAGACCAAATTATATTAAACTGTGTAGATTCTTTAGAATAAGACGAACTAATATAGTTACAAAAATATCTACAGTCACATCTCTGAGCTGCTTTGTAAATGTTGTGTGGACAACATTATACAAAAAAAATTGAAGTTCAATGAACCAGTTGGAAGATAGCTTAATATTAGAGGTGCTGAACAAGGTTTCACTTCTATTATGTTGCATCCGTATTAGAAAGATGAAAAAACACACACAATTTTAAACACACATTGAGAACGATTATGGCACGTGATGATACAGAAAGTTTTCAGAATTACATTGTGTCATTATGTTGAATATAAACATAATGTAATACAAAAAGTCTACATCCACTAATACAGAGTCTCAGATGTAACTGCTTGACCTGCAAGCCCACAATGCTTTGTGATGTTTAATGTCACATTCCCATTCTCTGTGTAAAAAAAGCAGAGCTTTGCATTCACATAAACATCAACATGCTACAGAAAGCTCACACTTAGGCATGGGCTGGTGTAAGTTTCTGACAGCGTGATAACCTTGGATAAAAATACCATGGTGTCACGGTATTGTGATTACTGCTCTAGAAGAATTTTTTTTTAAAGGTTATCGTCCCATGCCTACTTTAGACTCAGTGTATCTTCAGGAACCCCAATATTAATTTAGTTCTAAAGTCCCAGTTAGATAAGTCAATATAAAGCTTTTTTGGATAGCAGTATCGTTTCCCAGCACAGTGCTGGGTTGCAGCTGGAAGAGCATCCACTGTGTTGAACATATGCCTGAGTAGTTTTCGGTTCATTCCGGTGTGGTGACCCTTAAAGGATCATGGACTAAGCTGATGTAAAATTAATGAATGAAGATACTAGTATCCATATAGTAGTCCTAAGGATATCTATAAGCTAGTGTGCTCCAAAGCAGTGACGAAATGGACGTGTCCTGCTTCCTTCAAGACCCTGTTGCCATATGCACTCGAGCTCTTCACGTTTCAGTTAAAATTGTGTTACAAGTTGACCAAAAATGGACATTTCAAAGCACTTCACAGGACCTTTAACTGTGTGTGTGTGTGTGTGTGTGTGTGTGTGTGTGTATATATTTATAAATTTATATATATATATATATATATATAGTTTTTTTTTTTTATTTTAATATTTTTTTTTCTTTCAAAGTGCCATTAGCCATTAAGTTCCATTTTATGAATCTCCAAGGACTAATATTTCAGCTAAAAATCTTCTTTAATTTTCTTCTGAGGAAAAAAAAATTCTACACATTGGATTGGCCTGAGGATAACATTCATTTAAAACTTTTGGGTGATTCCTTTAAGGTGTTTTTAGGCCCCGTTTACACTAGTGCGTTTTAGTTTTAAAACGGCGTTTTAGAATGAAAACGATCCGCGTCCACACTCGCGTTTTACCCAGCGTTTCTGAACTGCTCTCCGTCCACACCAAAACGCTGAAAACGCACATCACGTGACCACACACACACTCTCGTTCAAGCGCTCCAGCATTTCTACCCAGATGAGAGCTCTGCTTGTCGGACTGCTCATCAAGCATCTCCCGCTGGATCTAATCTCGCTATATTTGCTAAACGTGATATTTCATTCATGTTGTTGTCTTTATCTAACGACATATTCCCTGACTTTGGTCATTGGAATCTATTAAGTTACTTGTTCACGGGTAACATGTTTTGGTTAAGCGCAAAGATAAGTTAATGATTAATCCAGGTACATTGACTGATCGCTTGCCTTTATTTCCTACAATGTATAAACTTATTGTATGTTATACTTTTATAATTATCGATTATTAAAACTGATATCCAGCAGAAGAGAGGGTGTGTTTCGTATTTTCACTGAAATTGAAAGGAGGCAGTTGTTATCGGCTCCGTTTTGTTATAAATATCCACACAGTGAAGATGACGCTCATATATACAGCACGACGTCTCAACATTTCTGCTGTCTGTTAAGTTGCTAATATTAAAAAGAAAATAGGCAGTTCCTTAAATCATGTTTACATTTTATTGTTGAGAAAGTGAAACAACGTAGCCAGGGTGATGTGAATGAAGTTATAAAGTACACTGTTCCCTTTGAAGATTTACCCGTGTCCTCGGTATGTTTTCCATATCAAACTGAGGGAGACTGCAGCCTTGATCAAACTTGCGAAGTCTTAACTTACAAGAAGAGGATGCGAGACTGAACTGTGTGTGTTAGGCTACTTAATATTGAGGAAAAGCCCCAATCAGATAGGCGAACGTTTGCAGCCCCGCCTCCGTTTTCAGATGTCTCCGTCTTTCCCCATCCACACTGAGACGGAGCAGCAGCGTTTTAGAATAAAAACGGCCTCTCCAGCGTTTTCAAAAAGCTCTGTTTTCGGCGCTCGAGAACTCCGGCGTAGTGTGGACGGATGGCGTAACCGTAGCAAAACTTATGCGTTTTCATACTAAAACGCACTAGTGTAAACGGGGCCTTAGTTTCCTCTATCTGAACTGATGAGTGTTAATATTCACTTCTGTTGTAGTGCTTCAACAGAGGCGCTGCTTTGAACACAGAGAATGAATTTCACAGCAAGGTGAAGACGGCCTGTCAGCAGCAGAGGACAGGAACTGTGGGGTGAGATGTTATCCTTTGTTAAATCAATGGTTTTGGGGCATTTTCAGGATTGGTGAAGTGATTTTATCCTGTGCTTTTTCGCCTTTTGTCCAGTAGGTTTAAGATCTCCAAGGTTATTGTAGTTGGTGATCTGGCGGTGGGGAAAACCTGTTTAATTAATAGGTGAGCAAAGCGTCAGTTCACAGATGAATGTTTTATAACTACACCAGAGCAGTCAGAATGAAAACAGTCTGTTTTGTAGATTTTGTAAAGATGTCTTTGACAAAAATTACAAAGCTACCATTGGTGTGGACTTTGAAATGGAGAGGTTTGAAGTTCTCGGAGTCCCCTTCAGTCTGCAACTGTGAGTACACTTTATGACAGTAAAATTAATTATGACCCAGTCTTTTGTATGGTTATTTTATAGCAGTTTTGTTGTATCTATTTTTCAGATGGGACACTGCAGGACAGGAGAGGTTTAAATGCATTGCCTCAACATACTACAGAGGAGCTCAGGGTACATAACTTACCAGAAAATTATTCCAGGGTCTCTGCAGGGTCTTAAAAAGTCTTAAAATGTCTGAAATCTACTGAAATGTTGTGTTTTAGGTCTTAAATCTTTTTTAACAGGTCCTAATTTTCCTTTGTTCATTTATAGCTTCCCAATCTGGCCATTAACACTCATGCAATCACCAACAATTCCAATCTAATTAAAGCTTTTTATACAAAAAAGCATTTTAATTCTATTTACCATCATATTTTAATAACTTTCCTTACAAACAAATTCCTGACAAACAAATGTAAGGAAATGGTGAATAACAAATGGACTTGAAGGGAAAGTTAATTTTCTGATTCTCAAAGTGTCAGTAGGCATTGACTTGCATTTTGTGAATGGATAGTTTCAGCCAAAAATCATCTTTAAATGTTCCAATTAAGAATAAAAGGTTACCTACCCTTTGGATCATCTTTGTTTGAGTACACGAATCATACATTTTTTATGAACTCTTAAAGGTTTAAACTTTAATCTCTCTAACGTGATGAGTGTACTTAAATACACTCCGATGGATGTTATGTACTAAATATTAGGTACATAACAGAGTCATTAATAAAATGTTTATATTATTACAAAATATCAAAATCTGGTAATAATAATGAATGCCATTTTTCCCTTTTTTTTTGTACTTTTGAGACATTCATGGTCTTTTCCATGTTCTATTTCCAGCTGTAATCATTGTGTTTGACCTGACTGATGTGGCTTCACTGGAGCACACCAGGTAAATTACATCATCTTTACTAACCCACTGGATTAACAAACACAGTGTGCTTCACACATTGAAATCTATCATTCTCTTCCGAAGACAATGGCTTGAAGACGCTATGAAAGAGAATGATCCTACCAGTGTATTACTGTTCTTAGTGGGAACAAAGAAAGATCTGAGTGTGAGTGATCATCTTTAAATCCAATATAGCTAACTTGATACTTGACATTATACATAATCTAGTACTGTCTCTTCCAGTGTATATGTGTTATCATAACATAATGTCTTTTCTGCAGTCTCCTGCGCAGTATTCACTAATTGAGCAGGACGCAATTAAAATAGCGGATCAGATGAAAGCGGAGTACTGGGCTTTGTCTGCCTTGTCTGGTGAGTTCTTAAATAGAGCCATTATAATACAGTCCTGCCAGTAACATTTTTTGTGACTAAAATGTCTGATTTTGTAGTGAGTTTAATTTATTGTTTTGCTTTGAAAATGTACAGAAATGTACACATCTTGATGCATTATTCATTTTTGACCTTGAGAGACATTAAAGTGTAAATTATATAAAGGAAATACTGAGAGAAACGAGAGTTTAATCCTAAAGTCTGCTGTATCATATTTGATAATGAAACCAATTCTTTCAAAATAAAGCCTGTATTGAAAGTTCAAGGCGTTTGCACACCTGAAGAGAAAACATTTTATAATGTTTTTAAATGTTAAACAATGCAGATGGTGTTTTTGGCATGGGGGAAACTTGACTGCATTTGTCCTGATCTCCCAGTATATATGGGAGATCTGATTCAATTAAAAGAAATTGCAAGCTCCACAAAATTGTGTGATATTTGCAATAAATCCAGCCACTGCAGAATCCTGGAGGATCTGATAGTACTTACTTCCAGGGCCATTTATATCGAAGTTGATATTTAGCCGCACCTTATAAGTGTTTCGTAACATCTAGTTTTTATGAGGTGAGTTGTTAGCCCGACACTCAACCCCCAATCTGGAGGACCAGGACATACACACTTACACAAAAATGCTGACCCATCTGTGGTTTAAACCAGCAATTTTCTTTCAGTGAAGTGACAAAAATTCAGCCCTGGTACTGTAGCCACATCAGTCCACATTACCACACCGACACAGTCCCACCGGCGGACTCGCATATTCACTATTCATTTTGGTGTAAAGATGAATAATATGACATTCTTGCCAGATTTTGATTACGTCCGGGTAACCTTTGGGTCGGCCCGTTTTGAAATCAGGCAGCCGTCGCCGATTGGGCCAAATGCTTAACATTTATTATTATTATCATTATTTTTATTATCATCATCATAATATCACATCTAGCAAGAGATAAAAGCTGCCTCTACGTAAAAACAATACATATTAAAAAAAAAAAAACTGACCGGCCCACATTTAAAAATTAGTCCAGCCCTTCTGGCATTTGCCAGATGGCCAGTCCGCCCCCGTAATAGTGCATTATATTTCGATAGGAGTTATTTGAAAGTTCTACATTTTTACCCCAAGTGTAACAATATCCTAAAAGTTGCTGCAGTTTATGTTGTCTAACTATTACTGTTTTGATACCTGTAGGGGAGAATGTGAGAGACTTTTTCTTCAGAGTCGCATCTTTAACCTTTGAGGCCAATGTACTGGCAGAACTGGAGAAAAGTGGATCAAGGCGTATTGGGGAAGTTGTTCGTAAGTACAGTAGGATTTTGTTAAATCCATTGGAATTTGATTGCTTCATAAAAGGTCACTTTAAGTTCAGAAGAAGTTTTCCATTTTATAAAAGGTTAATAACATGCTAAGATTAATAGCAGATATGATCTGTATTGTTTTTGCATTTAAGTTAAACCAATAAACTTATTTCTCCACACAGAAATCAGCAGCAACTCTAATAACCTGTATGCAACGTCCAAGAAGAAACAGAGCAACTGTTGTCAGTAGATACTGACTATATGAAAAGGCAAACATTTGCACCGATGCATAATGGTACCAAAGCAAAACACAATCAAATGTACATATCTATGCATAGGGAGAAGACCGAAAAGTGGGATTTCAAGCAAAGGAGAGCTCTGCAGAGAGCAGTGTGGTTTGTTATTCAGAGGGTGTAACTGAATATCCGCTGGATGAAAGAAAACATTCCTTTGTTGGAAAATTCGAGGTTTGCATTTTTTGTGGCAAAGCAGTTTCTGATTTCTCAAGAGCTCTTTGCACATTTTACTAGTGATTATTTCAGTGTGTTCAATCATTTTTTATTTAATTTTCTTGCTTAGTTTACAGTCAGGAGTGATTTTATACAAGGTACACAAGAGGATCATGCATGAGTTGCACAATAAGAAATGAACAGTGATAATTGTATTGTTCTATATCAAAAGTGCTGTTTATTAAAATGGAAGTTGTATAGGAATTCCTTTATATAGCTTCATCTTGCTGTAAAACTTTATAAGTATTAGGGCTTACATACAGATGGTAGTTTTCTGTGACCAGCAATTTTATTATAAATAAAATGCTTTTCTTTTTTTAATGAGCCATTTATTTATTTAAAAACCTCTCACGTAAAGTGAAATACGCCTTTTTTAATGTTATTACTGTATTAATGTTGTTTGATTAAAAGATTAAACCACTGATAAATTTACCGGTTTCAAGTTAGAAATCTCAGTTACAGTGTGATAGCGTCCTCTATTGGTATTTTTGTGTAACAACCATACACAAATTGGTTTATTTCCAATATGATATAATATCAAGTTTAGAATGGCATGGTGCACAATTGCATGTCACTACGTTTGAGCTGAATCATTTGCAGCAATATTACATGTACAGTTATTAAATTCTTAAGTGAAATATACTGTCATGTGAAGTAAAAACATTTGAAAACTATTTTTAATTGGGGTAACCTTAAATCTCAATTTTAGATTTTGTCTATCTCATATGAATGTGTATATGTAACACATCTGGACATGTCATGTAAATGTAAAACCCATCTATATTATCATTATTATAATTATAGAAATAGAAACAAAACATAGATGTGTATTAAAATATTATATTTCGATTTATATGGCACTTTCTACATTTAATACCAGCAATATAAAATCAGTGCTGTATACATGTTTTACAGTGAGGATTTATTGGCAATGTTTAAATCCTGTCAAAGCGAAATGTAAATCAAATATTACATTCCACTTGAATATGTACCTGATTGTCATGCCTTTAAACACTGAAGTTCTTGAAGAACTCCAGATATTGACTGTCTATTTGAGATTGCAGCTCTTTCGGAATGCAGTGGGAATATTTATAGTTTTCCTTCAGCCATTTTCCTCCTTCACTGTTTTCAATGGCCACAGCAGCAATACCTAAAAGGCAGAAATAATGGCTTCAATTTATTTTAATGGTCCCTTTAACGCATTTTGTAAGTAATGCATAAGTAATGTCTTGTTTACATATCTAATAACTCTCATAAGTTACAGTAATATACAGTAATAGTAGATTGGTAGGGTTCGGGTTCTAATAGGTTGACCTGTACTGGCAAATTTACTTGTAGTACAAGAACATAATAAGAGAGCAGATATTAAACTGACAATCTACTGATAGTTCAACGACAGCAAGTTTACATGTAGGTGCAAAGTTATTTTAAGTGTCAACTAAATGTTCAAAACAAACCTTCAAAGTAAAGTTAATTAAATAATAGCTGTCATTTTGGGGAGTTAATTGACTGGTGACCTGTAAGCTTTTCATTCAAGCAAAAGGCAGCTGTCAGCCTTACAAAAAGCAGCTGTACAAAACTTTTTGGTAATATATTGCATGTAGCAAATGATATAAAAATAATACAACAATAACTTATAAGATCATCTCTGACCAGTGCTACTAAATATGTATTTTAGCACATAGTATTTTAAATGCTTACCTACAACAGTAGCTCCTTGATTCTCCACCAGTTTGATAGCAGCTCTCATAGTTCCTCCCGTCTCGATCCACTGGTCTACTAAAAGAACCCGTAAGCCTGAAATACATATTTACAAAACTGACCATTTTGCAGTTATTAAGAGCTGAACTGCACTGAGATTGTATAGTAAAATTCTTTATGTAACAAAATGATTTGATTATGATGGTGTTTAAAGGTATAGCGCACCCAAAAATGAAAAATATGTCATTTAATCACTCTTCCGTTGATCCAAATCTAGTTTTTCTTCAACATTTGAACACAAAAGCAGATATTTTAAAGAATGTTGGAGGTCCCTTTTTCAAAATATCTTGTTTCATGTTCACCAGAGAAAAAGAAACCCATGAAGGTTAGGATCAACTTAACCCTTTAACTGCCCCACCAAGAAAGAAAAAAAAAAATTGGATTGCATTTCTTAACTCCTAATGTCGCTAGTTAACACACTCAATGCATTTTTTTTTCAACACATCCCATAGTTTCTCAAATATCAGCCTCTACCAAATGTTTGATATGTTGAAGTGTGCCATAAAATATTTCAAATTGTCATTAAACATGTTTTTTTTTTTTTTTTTTACAATAAAACCAAAATCAAGTGTATGTTTATGTTGTGTATGTCATTATGTTGTGTATGTTTATGTCATTTGATTTTTTTTTTTTTTTGTAAACAACAATGGTGTGTAGTGTAAATACTTATTTAAAACAGCTAAAATATGGTCATTCATTTGGTAGAGCAGGCAGTTAAAGGGCTAAAGGTCATAAATGGTTAGTAAAATGTCATTTTGTGGTGAATAATGCCTTGTTTTTATCCCCATGTGACTTTTACAGCGTTATTGGCCATTATAGTGACTTCAGATACATCAGTACCTGGCTTTAACACATCAACACGCACTTCCATGACTTTCTCTCGTCCAGAATAGTCACTGTAGTCCTGAGTGTGAGTTTCAACACATAAGTGTCCTGCTTTACGAATAGCCAGAAATCCTTTTCCCAATGTTGTGGCTACAGCTGACCCTGAAATTGCAGGAGGAAGTTTTAAATAAATATGATTTTTAGTGAATTTCAATTTCAGTAAGTGAATATATATAGGCTACTTTCATTAGAGATGGACTCTTAAAGTATATCCCACTCTATATTTAGACTATTTGCCAAGAGTTATATTTACTTTTCCTGCAACATGTGAACTGTGCTAAAAATACAGTCTCTTTAGTACAGACGTTCTCACCAGCTACACAAAGAGCAAAGTTTTATACCGAGGATGAAGCCCATGGCATCTATTCCAGCCACCAGGTCAATGGTCTCATTCTGGAATGGTTTGAGAAGATCTTTTACACAATCTGACAGTGCCTGGATCAGTCAGGAGAAAACGCTGTCAAAACTTTAAAGCACATTGTAGCGTAGCTTAACACTTTCCATGCTTCATGAAGTTGGAGCTAGATTGTTGATTAACGTATATGGTTTACTAGAGAAAGTTTTGATTCCGACAAGTATAGTTATTTACCTGGGAATTGCAATAGAGTCTTGATGGATCAAGCCATGCAAACTTTGGTCCTTTTGTGTTTGGTGCCATAAGAGACAAGTACCAGCCCTCTTCTCTTTTTGGGGGAACTGCTAAAACATCCATTCTGACAAGAGCTCTATAGACTTCTGCAAACTCGCTCCAGTAACGGAATGTAATTTGGTGTCGAGTTCAACAAGTCTGAAGTGGGCGTTTTCACGTCTCTCCCAGAGCAATCGCTTAGCCATTGGGTCAGACCAGACCCACACTGTTTAGTGTTTGTTTACTCAGCGGAATACATGCAGCTTTCCTTTTCCACCAACAGTGAATAATGTGAATAGGATTCGTGTACAGAATAATAGCGAAAATCTTCAGTTTGTGGTGTTTTGTCATCTTAAAGCTGTTTTAAACGGATGATCTAAAATGATAGCCTACCTAATGATGACAAATGTAACGGTAACGTGATTACCCAATAGTTTAATAACTCATAACATTGCTCTTAATGCGCTCCGTTGTCTTTGTGTTAAGTCGCTGGGAAATAAAATATTTCAAAGAATTAAACTTTTAGCATATATGCGATTGTTTACACCGCTTGTAAGTGTCGATATTGATGAAGGCGGCGCAAAAATAGGCCTATGGCAAGTCGTTTTAATATTTAACCGAAACATTGCTACTATAATCATAACCAAATAATTGACTTTAAAACCAAGGTGAAAATAAACAGTTCTGAATTAACATAACACGTTCATTCATTCATTTTCCTGTCGGCTTAGTCCCTTTATTAATCCGGGGTCGCCACAGCGGAAAGAACCGCCAACTTATCCCCCACATTTTTATGCAGCAGATGCCCTTCCAGCCGTAACCCATCTCTGGGAAACATAACACATAACTCACCTAAAAAAATTACTTTATTCTGCATCTAGAGGATAGCATATATATATATATACACACACACACACACCGGTCGAGGTCGGTGTTTTTTTTAAAAATGTTTTTATTTATGTTTTTATTACTATTATTGTTATTCTGTTAATTAAGATGGCATCCATAGAATGTAAAAAAGTTACATTATTAAATACTTATTTATTAAATGTTTATTTATTACTTATTGTATGTATTTTCAAATGAAATTATTAGTCTTTACTGGTTTTACTACTATTAAAATTAAATAATAATAACAATAATAATTATCATTAGAGTTATTTCTGAAGGATCACGTGACTGAAGATTAGAGAAATTAAGCTGCAAATTCATTTTTAAAATCACTGGAATAATTTAATTATAAACTACTTTTGAATAGTTATTTTATAGTGGGATAACATCTTACAATTTTTACTGTATTTTTGTTAAAAATAAATGCAGTCTTGGTTGCAAGAGAAGCTTATTTTCAAATGCATTTAAAAATCTATGATATAATATAAATTATATTTAATATATATATATATATATATATATATATATATATATATATATATATATATATATATATATATATATATATATATATATATATATATTTATTTATATATTTCATAAGATAATATCTTTCTGTAATATCAGCACTTACCTTAAGAAGCTAAACAGATGTGCCGGATTCAGAAAGACATAACAGCGTCTTCACCAGGATCAATAGGCTTTTTACAATTTTTGCAAAATTGTACAATTTTTATTGTATTTTTGATCAAATAAATGCAGCCTTGGTGAGCAGGAGAAGCTTATTTTAAAGCTTATTTTAGAAATAATATACTGACCCCAAACCTAAATAAATAGGGGCCCCGACCAATGCCAAGAAGCCTAAATTAATCATCTTAAAGCTATTTTATAATTTTTCGGTCATATGTTGTAAAATCTGTCTATAACCACTAAGATTTTAACGTTATTACTTATTTTCTAAACCAGGGGACCCATAAATAGTGAAACACTCCTTCTGTACTGCACATGCAAATATTCAAATCTAATCACAACTATGGCTAAACTGTATAGTTTGTGAGCTTGCTTTTTATTTTGCAAATATATTGTATTTAATTTTAAGGGTTCCACTTACAATATATTTTACATGCAGTTTATTTACAAAAAAAAAAAAAAACTATTTAGAACTGAGTTTGACAACATTTAAGCAACTGCCAACATTTATCACAATTACATATTCAATAAAAAGCAATATAAATTAACAAACTCCATCTAAAGCTAAAAAATCAACAATCGTTCAGCACTGATCCTCATGTTGTACAAAACCTGTAGTAATAAAAAACAAAACAAATAACCTGACTTATGCATTTATTTAAAAAAAAAAAAAAACTTTATTCTACAAATACCACTTTTACTTACTTCAAAAAAAATTTGGAAGTGAAATTAATGCTTAAAACATAAAAAGATCCAAAAGAAAACAAAACACTTATTTTTTTGTTTTTGTTTCAAATAAAAAAAAAAAATGTATATCAATAGAAAGCACACACATATTTACTCTAGATAAGGTTAGAAACATTTGTCAAAAACAGGCTCACATCAGTTCTCAATAAAAAAAAGTTTAAATTAATTATAAAAACAAAACAAAAATAAATTATCCTTATGAATTCACAGTTGGACACAAAGCTCTGAAAAATACTTAGCAACAAATTCACAACCTGGGACGTGACAGTAGAGGTTTACGAATCCCTGTGATGATTCCGGTGCACATTAGCTACCTAACTGAGAAGATTGGAATTTAATGATTTTTATGTGCATAAAATCTGCTTGTTTGCCAAAAAGACACATTACACAGTTAGCATCTGTACGTTATGGTAATAGGCAATATCCAATGAAATATTATACTTAAATGAAAGTAATGTAAGTAGGCTTGTAATGTAAAGAATCTTTAAGGCTTCCTTAAAAAGCCAACACATTCTGATTTATTTATTTTTTACATATTTGTGTTTAGAAGAAGAGAGACATCCTGTGTATGTGTGTGTCAATGTGTAAATCATTGTTTTCTGCATTAAGATAAATGCACTATTCTATATATATATCACAATAAAGGTATCAGAGTAAAATGGGACAGTGGTTGAACAGTAATTTACCATTTGTTATCACAGTTACTGTCTGTAATGGCTACATACATTTTTACACACTACAAAATGTCATTCAAATCCTGCTTGTTTTACAGTAAAATACAGTTGTTGTTATTTTAATTATAGCAAAACACTGGCTATTTTACAGTTATTTACTGCATAATCTACAGTAAGGGCTAACAGTGTAGAGTCCCGTACCTGGAATTGCTTAGGGCCCCCGAATCACCAGGCCAGCCCCTGAATATATATACATAAACTCTGAAGTGGATGAAAATCTTTAAAGTTAGGGCTTACTTTTAAATAATAAAGCTGAGTATTCTGTAAGATATTACAGTTTGGAAATAACTTATAAAAGTGATAACTAAAATACAAAAAAAAAAAAAAAAAAAAAAGAGCAGTTATTCACTATTAAAATCCATTAGAAAGAAACTAGCATACCTAAAGGAAAGCTTGAGTAGGTCCTACCTGAAGAAATGTAAAATTAAGAAAATATAGGGTGGCGTGGGGCACAAAGTGACGTGGGCTAACCATGGCATGCTGCCAAGTTTTCACTACAGCGTCGGCAGACGTCTTCCTGCAACTATTAAAAAACTTTAGTGAAATTTGGATGTGAAACACAGAAGAAAACCATTTTTGCAGAATAAAAGTATTTTTATTATACTCATACTTTTTATTATACTATATTTAAAAATTTGTGAACGTGTGTATGTAAAATCTTAAACTGTTGTGATTACTGTCTTCTAGGCTAAAAGTTGAAACCATTTTGAAAGATTGACTGCTAACCAGTTTTGAGGAAAACACAACACAGCGAGGTTGTAAGGGTGTTAGAAATAAGACACACAATGTTAGACACCAATTAAAATAACAAAATAATTGTTGAATTTTGAGTGTAATATTGGGATCTTTTTATAATAAAAATGTTTTTGTTAGAAAAAAGAATAAGTTGACATGTCCCTATATCTACTACTGAAATGTCCCTACCAATAATTTAATTGACTTTAACATAAAATAATGCTTCGTTAACCCTTAGTAACCTATGTGCACAAAGTCAAGTTTGCTACAAGTTCACTGTAATACTATTAACGAAGGCTGTGAAATCAATTGAAATTTGGTTTTAATTTTGGCCTCCACTATTATGAAAAACAATAATCAGTATAAAACTGTTAAATTGCGTTACACACCTCTTTCTCAACATTCTTACTTCCTCAAAGCCCGACTGCAGTAAAATCATGTAAAGTGACTTTTGTAGCATGGGACAGGATTGTTATTTGTATTATGAAGTGTTTCATTTATATTATTAAGTTGTTTATTCGTGTTTTTTGAAAACGTGAAACAGACTTTCTGCTTTTCAATGCATACGCTCTAGAGATGGATGTCACCACCAATATCAAGAACTACGCCCTTGACAGACAGCCTAAAAAGCACTAGTAGCACGAAAATAGATTGTAGTAGATTAAATGTTAAAACAGCTTGCCATATGTAGGGGTCTCCGATGTGCTGGACAGCAGCCAAGTGATTTCTGCGCAACATTTTCTCTGTTAAAATGCAAAAACATGAATAATGTCAAGGTTTCGATGTGTTTTTAGAATTGACCAATAACCTAATTAGAGTATGTGAGTGGGACTAACTAATAGGAGGATGCCCTTTCCTTATGCCTTCGCATTATCACATAAAATGAGCCCAGCACTGGAGTTATACTACTAAAGAAATTTCCGCGATATCAGCAAATTGCAAACAGATGTGCCGGATTCAGAAAGACTGGTTAAACGTGCAGGTTTAGAGTCACTCCATTTTGCCCTAATAATAAGACATATTTCACACAATGTGGTTCTTTCACTCACCATTGTGGTTGAGCAGGCTAATGAAATTTATAGCAGTGAAAATCAATATAAATAATCAGAAAAATAAATAATCAGGAATTGGTTAAATAAATATTAACAAAGAGTAACAATTACACACAACGGTTAAACTTTCTTCTTAAAGTAGGTTTGCACTAACTTTGATTTATTAAATTTGACTTTTGCTCGCTTAATTATTAATATTTTTCAGTGCATTGCTTTTTTATGCTGGAGGGGGAAAAGCCTAAGCAATATTAACAGTTATATTGTGCAAAGTGGATAAACATGTTTCCATTGCACTGCAACTAATTTTGTAGGACTATAGCCTTATCCACACAATCCAAAGATCTAACCCGTAATTTTCATGCAAATACATGTAATTTACGCAGTTTTAAGCTTAAATGTCAAGATTTAAAGGGTTTTTTGTTACATGTAATGTTACCAGAAATTAGGTAGGCTAAATGTGTGCAAAAAATAAACAATTCGTCAGGTATGTGGAGCACGGAGTGATTAGTATCCTGGCACAAGTTTTTAATAATACAAGGGACGGATTTTCTAACAATGTCGCATGTTGCCTCTGGTGATTTTACATCAGTTGTTTCCTCCCCCACCAATCCGATTTCTTTGCCAAAGCCCACTGTTGGGGGACTTTCTGAAAGCCGCGACCGTAAATATTTTGCATTTGTACTTACACATGCTCAATCCCTCTTTTATATGATACTTCAGTTTTTTTTTTTTTTTTTTTTTTTTGTAAAACCCTTTAAACGGTTTACACCAAATATTATTAGGTAGGCTATACAGGCAAAATATGATAAAATATTTACATATTTTAAATAGTAGCCTAATAATAAATATATTTTTGTTTCTCTGAAAGAAATGCAGCAACAGAATTATCACAATATTTTATTGCTTGCTCGCAACAATCATGTACAATTTCAAACATATTTACTTATAAACAAACGTGCATTCTCTTCTCAAATTCCGCCTGTTCGCTTTCCTGGCGCCTGCATCTGTTAAGAGTCCGAACATTAAGATCCATGTAACCATAGGAAAAGACACTGACTGATGTTCTGTATAACTACATGGAGATCTTGATTGGTCTGCACTGAAAAAGCCCACTGTTCCAAATTAGGTCACTACCCATTTCTTTTGTGAAATTAGAATGCCCAATCTCGTTGGGTCGGAAGAATCACCCCATCTCTTGTTACTATGGAAAGCGCCAAAGGAACCTCCTCCTTGCTGCGTCACCAAAGAAAAAATCTCGAGGTGTGGGGAGCGATGGGGTTACTAGCGGTCAGACACACAGATATCCATTACATCTATCCCATTATGAACATATTCGCATGCATGTGCAATAACGATTTGATTAAAAGGAGCATGCATTAATAAGGGTTTTGCATTTTGTTAAGAAATATTCTATTATATTATTGTCATAGATACAGAATTTTTTTTCGCACTTGAGGAATTTAAAAGGATCGAAAGTACTTGAAAATATGTGATTTCAGTATTATGCTATATATTTTAATGGCATTTAAAACAAAACATATAGGCCTACGCTGTGAGATAGAGAGCCTGTTTTACATAGTGGTAAATGGAGTATTCAATACAGATCATAATGAAAATTCATCGAGGAACGAATTGGTGCAATCTTTAAGCGTTCTCGGACTTTAACTTTTGTGGTATAAAACAAAACATGCAATTTTACGCATGGTACAGTTTTAACGAATATCCATGTGAATGAAGGCTTTTATAATATTTTCCCACATTTTTCGAGTGCCTTGGACTGATTTAAAAACCCGACTTTTAAAATAAATGTTCTAAAAGTGAATTTTATATTAAAGCCACGAAAAACATCTTTAAATTCTCATTTCTGTGAATTTTTTTTCTAAAAAAATTTCAAGAACAGTTTTTTCACTATAAAGAATCTTTTGCGCAATGAAAGATAGTTAAATTTGTACTCTTTTAATGGGAAAAACGACCTTTTATTTATTTTAAATCACTTTTCCCACATCTCAATATTTTCTTGTTTAATTTCTACATTATGCTTCTATTTGCCTTGAATACTTTTTGCGTTCAGTATGATGTTTTATTTTGTGCTTAATCAGAAAAATAATAAAATAATACAAAATGTGATTCTAAAAATGCATCGAATTGGAATAAAGCAATAAAACATCCATTTGCCATGCAAAATTCCTCTTAGAAATTAAGAGCATTTGCCCTTTAGGGTTTTACACACGCATAAAGTGTCCATTTGGAAATCACTGCACATTGTTCACTTGCCATAAAGACGCCAGGAGGAGGAAACAGATGCACAAGGGGTATTCAAGTTCACTGGAGGAGGAAAGAGTTAATTAAATGACAGACCCCTCCCATTATTGACTGGCAATATATTAATAGGCAGTGTGAAAGAAGCCGGCAGTCGCTGGTCAGGACTCAGGAGAGCTTGCGGTGCTGTCTGACGCTCTGTGGTGCTGAAAGTGCCGCCCGCCGCGATGTGGTCCGTGTTTTTCGTTTTTCTGTCTTATCTAGACAGAAACTTTGTTAAAGGAGAGTTCTTGAGCCAGACTTTAGATGCCGAAAAGGAGAGCAAGGAGCTCTTTTACATGCTCAACAACACTCTTTGCGCCAAAAGTTCAGTTGTAGGAGAGTACCACCTCCATCAGGTCACCGATGGGGCAGAAGAGGTCCGCTCTGTGCATGACTCCGAGGGGCGCCTGCTCGACTGCTCAGTCATCCAAAACCAAATGCAGGTCAAATCCTTTATGCATGTCTGCAGACTTGGCCTAAGAAACCAAATGAGCTCCGACCTGAAGATGAGCTTGACTGGGGTGTCCGAAGCGAAGGCGAACTGTAACAAGCTGAGATCAAAAGGAGCCAAGAATGTGATACCGACGACAAAACAAGTGAAAGAGGCGAGCAACAAGAAGACGCGAACCAAGCGAGGCTTCACTTATCCTGGCACTCTTTGGTGTGGTGCTGGAAACATCGCAGATCATTATGAGCAGCTGGGTGAGTTGACTAAGCTACTTATTTGTGCATTATAATTATCATTTTAATCTCGGACTTTAGTTTTAGAAGGGTGATTATCAAGTTTCATTTGATCTATTTTTTTCCCAGGCGAGTTCGAAGAGACTGACAGATGTTGCCGCGTTCACGATCACTGCCCATATGTCATCCATGCGTTCTCCTCCAACTATGGATATACCAACTTTAAATGGCACTCACTCAGCCATTGTGACTGCGACAATGCGTAAGTTGAATGTGTACGAGCTGTGTGTAATCAAATTTACTAATGCCGCTGTTATTACAACATACTTTATGATGGGACATATTAATTACCATATTTTAAAATGACTCTTTCGTGCACTGTAAACAATATGATCAATTAATCCTGACAGCATATGTTTTTAACTAATTAATTAAAAGTTAATCGTGTTTTAACTTGATTGTAAAGTTACACAAGCTGTTCTAAGTCAGTTTAACATAATATAAGTTGAATAGACTCATAAGTTGAATAGACTCATATATATATTTTTTTTTTACAGTGTGGATGGAGAACAGGGGGATTTAGTTATGAGAAATCCTGACGCTAACTACCTACAATGAAAAATAAACATTTTAAGGACAATATATTGTTATAGGAAGATATTTTGGATGGTTTTAATTGGCATTGGATGTTTCATAAAGAGTCTTTAACATCAACTGAGGCTTTTTACTGCATAATAGATTCTTTATGGTGTTACTGTAGATTAAAACTTTCTTTACTCTTACAAAAATTGTTATTTTAGGAACCATTCTCTAAAACAGACATGCCCAAACTAGGGCCCGCTGGCCAAAGTTGGCATGGTAACCTTTGATTTGGCCCCCCTTCCCATCTGAAAGAGGTTTAGATGTACAATTTTATTTCTTTGTTTTACTGTTAAGCTACAAAAAAGGCTATCTGAAATTAAAAGTTTCAATTGAAATGTAAGGTAATCAGATTTAGTTTGAAATGTACATAAAACGGATAGAGGACAATGCAGAGACTTTGGTGAGTGAATCAAGGCAAAGGCAGATTCTGCTTGGCTAGTGTGTTCAGCATTGAACTCCACTGTGTTATAAATATGATTGTTTATGTTTTATTGCAATAAGTTATCATTTAAAAATTGATTTTGCATTAGTTAATACAATTCAAAGTATAGTTTTCTATTTTTTTAATCATATGAAAAAAATTATATGAATTAGGAAATTACCCATGGCAGGTTATATAATGGTATATTTATCTTCGGCCCACGGCTATCAATGAGATTTGGTGTTTGGCTCTTCATACAAAAAAGTTTGTATGCCTGTTCTAAAAGGTTATTTGAGGAAACCAAAATGGTTCATTTATTGTGTTGCTGCTGCAAAAAAAATATAAAACAAAATAAATACATACATATTTGCAGTATTTATTAATAGTGTAGGTTAAACCAAAACTAAATGAATAAGTTAAATCAGGTAGAACAAAAAGAGTTGGAGTGTTTTCAAATAAAATTGATATTAGCTAATCTATATTTAAAAAGCTTTAAAGAAATCTGATATTTTCAAGCCATCTTCATATTTATACAGACTTTTATATCTGCCTCTTTCAGCTTAAAAGAATGCCTGAGGCTCGTCAATGACACCTCCTCCCGAGTGGTTGGACAAGCTTTCTTTAATGTGATCGAAGTGCCTTGCTTCGAGTTTTCATTTGAAGAGCAGTGTGTTGAGCGCCACTGGTATGGTGTGTAAGTATCAAATCGATTTAATATTTAGGATTAAACTCAAGCATACCCTTGAAAAAACATTCATGAAACTTTTGTTTGTCCTCTCTATCATGAAGGTGTAAAAAGTATGAAAGAGTTCCTGTTGCAGTGATTAAAGAATCAATCCCGTATGACTTCGGGGGTATTGATGTCATTGACGTACTGACTCTCGCTCCTCTCAAGGGAAAGCAGTCAGACAAAGAGATGCAGAACAAGACTGAAAGCACAACAGAGTCAACGTTCCCAAAGACCACGAGTCCCGAGGAGCCCTCGCTTACAAATGTGGTGACGGCCGCAGAGGATTTCATTAAAGTGCTCGCCACAGTCTCCACCTCTCAAAGCTCATCCACAGATGCAGGGAAAGGAGAAACTCAGACGTCAGAGAAGAAGAAGAAGAAAACCTCTGGCAAAAAGAAAAAGGAGAACAAGAAGAAAAGGGGCAAGGGTAAAGGCAGGAAGAAGAATAAAAAACTTGATGCTGTGTTAAAAGTCGATGAAGGTGCGTCCGGTGCGACAAATCCAAATGAAGAAGTCATGGGTAAGAACAACTACATGGAGGAAACACCAAACACAAATCAATTAAGCGTAAAAGAAAACAATTTCATGAACAGCGAGCTAGACGCAGTAGGAAATGGGGCGCTTTCTAATAAGATGATGAGGGATGATCCTCAAAGGTCGAATGATAATCGGGATGCTGATCAATCCTTAGTGAAGACTGGTAAAGATCCAGAGATTCTTGAGTACAGGCAAGTAAATGACACTGAGTTGGTTTCTCCCTCACCTAGAGATCACATTACCCCCGCCAGCCGTGAAAAGAACAGAGCCAAGCTAAGACAAAGAGGCGGAAAGAAAAAGCAAAGAAAAAACAATCCTTCCACAGAAGTTTCCCAAGCTTATTTCAAAGAAGAAACACTTTCAGTAAGTGCGCCCGAAGGTGCTAGCCTTGCAACATCAACCACAGAGAGCCCCATTACACTGGAGGTGACACAAAGTACACAGTACACGGACGAAAAGGGACTAGTAGGAACACCTGTTAAATCCAAAACACCAAGGCAGAGAGAGGGAAGAAAGAGACAAAGGAAAGTCATTGCTTCCTCTAACGAAGAACTCCCTCGTGAATCTACCTCTGAAGACCCTCTATTGTCCACAAGCACTGTTGAACCGACTGACTTGCAAGAGAGACTGGGATTGGACAATCTTGAAAATGCACAACAGAGTTCGAAGGACATCAAGCGAGGGCGGCGTGTCATCAAAATCTGCTACGAAGCCGTTTTGCCTGATGTTGCAGACACGACACCCCTGCCGACACTAATCGAAAAGGACAATGAGTTTCAGTTAAAGGACCCGGAGGTACATACAGTGATTCCTAATCTACAGACTAACACTCCGTCCATGCCTCCCCGCAGACTTGGAAAGACCAAAGTGAAGAGAAGCAGAGAGAGAGGAGCAGGAGAAAAGCATGGAAAAGTTAAGAGAGAGTGAAGATCACCTCATCTTCTAGGACAGTGTTTCTCAAGCACGTTCCTGGAGGGCCACCAACTCTGTATGTTTTGCATGCCTCCTTTCTCTGTCACACCTCTTAAAGGTTTTTCAGTCTCGACTACTGAGCTGAAGATCTGAATCAGGTGTGTTTGGTTAAGGAGACACAGAAAATGTGCAGAGCTGGTGGTCCTCCAGGAACATGGTTGGAACATGGAACATGGTTGATCCGAAACACTGTCATCCGATATGATGTTTTTAATAAACTGCATGTTTTTATCTTCTGTTTTTATAGCTCTGCTGATGCTAAACTGACAAATCAGATCAATTCTTGAGAAGCATTTGTTTCTCGACATGATTGCCGAATAAAGTAAATATGAGCACTGGTGGTTCTCCTAAAGTGTGGTTTAAGAAAACATTCCTCCGCTACACAATACGGGTTTTGTTTTTTAATAGTTTTGAGTGTATTTCCAGGTAACCTGATTATTTGCCCTCCTTGAAAAAAAACGAACCCAAGTACCTGCAGAACATTTATGACAGTCTTTGTTCTAGAGCAGACTTTGTCCTTCCTAGGCCTGTGCCAATGGACTTAAGCAGAAAGGGTCACATTCTTCTCAAAGGATAATCTGGTTTAGGTGCCTCTCCCACCCTCCAACTTTAAATCAGTATTGAAATGCTGAACTCAAATCTCCCATCAGCTGATCCTCACATGCTCCTTTTGGAAAGTGAGCCAGAATTGTCTGCAGAGGACGATGTACATAATTAAAGTCGCAGTGTTACAGTGATGCAAGCTGGTTTCAGATGTTCATTCGTTTTTTTTTTTGGCTTAGTCCCTTTATTAATCAGGGGTTGACACAGCAGACTGAACCGCCAACTTATCCAGCATATGTTTTATGCAGTGGATGCCCTTCCAGCTACAACCCATCACTGGGAATGGTTTCAGATATATTCAAAATTATTTTAAGGTCCGGCCATGCAATAATGGTGCAAATAAAGGAGTATGGAGGAATCTAATCTACTAATTAAGACTTGAACTATTATGTCAGGGTCATTTAAACAAGCATATGATCCTAAACATTTAAGGTTGCAAGGGTGATATCAAAGAGAACATGTTTGGTTCCACGTAAAATCTTTAAAGGATAGTTAAAATTTAAATGATGTCAATGGTTTTAAAATTGTCCCAAAAGTTTCTTTCTTCTGTTGAACACAAAGGAAGATAATTTATGAGTAGACTTTCAGAAATAAAGGTACCAGAGCTATCACTGGGGTGGTTTCCTTTTTAAAAGGTAGAGTACACATTTGTAACTAAAGGGGTTGTTGTGATACCATTAGTTAATCTTACAATACTATACCAGCTGAAGTATCATGATACCAAGTAGTATTGCAATACTGTATTTCATAACTCAAATTATAAAGAAAAGTGTCAAAAGTACTATATTTTATGTTATAATAGGCCTACTTGAATTTAATAATGATTCCCTTAAGGCCAAAAAGTATTATTTGCACCCCACTTTACCTACAATTAATTAATTATTTTAGTTTATTTTGTAGATAACTGACCAAAAATAAAATACCCCATTAAAATAAAGATACAAATTATTTATTCAATCATTTTCTTTTCAGCAGAGTCTCTTTATTAATTATGGGTCTGCCAACTTATTCAGCATATGTTTTACGCAGCAGATGCCCTTCCAGCTGCAACCCATCACTGGGAAACATCCATTCACACTCATACACTACCGACAATTTAGCCTACTCAGTTCACCTGTCATGTCCTTGGACTGTGGGGAAAACCTGAGCACCCAGAGGAAACCCATGCAAACACGGGAGTACATGCAAACTCCACACAGAAATGCTAACTGACCCAGCCGGGGCTCGATCCAGCGACCTTCTTGCTGTGAGGGGATTGTGTTACCGACTGCGCCACCGTGTTGCCCCGATACAAATTATATCGAATTAAATCTGTTACAGAAGTGGATGTTTGCCAACAAAATTAGGTTAAATGAAGATGTCAAACATTTTTCAATGTTTCCTGTTGCAATTTTGGAGTTTTCATCTTTTTTTCAGCCTTATCAGGTAACTATTCAAAGTAATTCAAAATTCTCTTTGTGAGTCGTTCTTTTAAAGAGATTGTCACGATTGTAGTTGCTTCTAAATCATATTAACAGGAACACAAATGAACAGATTCAGATGTGACTTCAAACTGTAGCATTAGAAAACGCTTAATAAGCTACCATAAAAGGTGCAAATTCTACAGAGTTTGGCAATCTTAAAGGGCTCCACAGACTACTAAAACATGGTGACTTTTCCACATATTTTTTCATATTTACCACAAAACATGCTTTTATTACTTAGTTTTTTGTCTTGTTGCTGGTCTAAATATCTAAAAAAATGTAATCAAGCATTTTCAAGACAAGCAAAACATATTGTCTTGTCTTGCCAATATTAGGTGAGTTTTTCTTTAAAAAGAGCAAAATAATCTGCCAAAAGGGTAAGCAAAAAAATGTCGAAAGGAAAAACAAGATTGTTTTTCTTACCCCATTGGTGGATTGTTTTGCTTGTTTTAAGGAAAAACTTACTTAATTTTGCCATATTATTTCTTGAAAAAATACAATGTTTTGCTTGTCTAGAAAATGCTTCTTGATTTAAGAATTTTTAGATATTTGGATTCGAAACCAGACAAAAAATCTAAGTAGGAAAAACATTTTGTGCAGTGTACCATTTACAAACAATCGCCAGTATTTTCGAGCCATAGTATCGTGATACTATCATAGCACCGGTAAACCGTGCAACCCTAAAAGGGTCTTTATTAATACCTCAAGGGAACATATTAGTACCTAATAAGTGCATAAGTGTTCTTTTTAGATACTAATATACACCTTTGAGGTACTAATATAGACCTTTTAAGTACAATTGTGCACCTTTTGAAATGGTTTTACCCCAAAGACAGCTCTCATACCTTTATATCTGAATGTGTATATAGGAGAGCAGCAGCCATTGACTTCACACATTTGTTCCTATATAAGTAAACGCTAGCTGCTTTTCAAATGTCTTCATAATATCTTGATTTGTGTTCAACAGAGGAAAGAAATTCATAAAAGTGTGAGCAAATAATGAGGAAATGTTCATTTCTGGTAAATTATTGCTTTAAGTGAACAGTTCTTAAATTAACAAACTTTTTTTGAAGAACATTTTCAAGAATGTTAGTGAAATCAAAGCTTCCATTGATATATTTTATGGAACAATCAATGGCACACTCTCAGAAGTAAAGGTACGAGAGCTGTAACTGGGGTGGTACATTTTCAAAACATACACTTTTGTACTTAAAGGGTCCATATTGGTACCTCAAAGTTTTATGTTAGTACCTACAATTTTCAAGAGATACATCTTTGTAATTTTTAGGTGCTAATATGTACCCTTGAGGTATTAATAAGGACCCTACAAACTCGTACCTTTTGAAAAGTTACCACCCCAGTGACAGCTCTCATACCTTTATTTCCGTGAGTGCACTTGTTTTTAAAGGTGTCTGATTTATCAGAATATTTCAATAGCCACAAAAAGTAACAACAATGCAACATGTATTCACAGAAATGCTTTAGCCGACCTCAAAGGAGACTAATGTGGGAGTTCCATTACTCCAAATAAGGACCACCCAAATTTATTCATATTGTGGCCTGACCAGAACATCACACCATTTTGCATCACTCCAACTTCCTCCTCCTTGACCCTGCTGTACTCAGCAGTTTCAGACCGAACACATGAGAACAATGTGGATTCTCATACCAGCTCCCTGGTTCCCAGACATGGAATAATAATCCAGCATTCACAGGGTGTAGGCATTATGAAATAATATACATTCCAAAAACAGTACAATAGTATCACTTACAAAGCATAAAAGACAATTCGCGATTGATTCTGCGGCGTTTCGTGCTGTTACGGTCATGGAAATGGGGTTAAGAGGGCGGGACCGTGTTCCCATGAGAACAAGAGGCTTTTGCTGAGTAACTGCACAATCTGTCCACATGCTGAGACAGGTCATGCAGTGAAACTTAAATCAATGCCAATGGGGGAAAAATATGAAAAGTGGCTAAAAACGACAATAAATCCAGCCATGTTTGGTTTAACGCAAGGTCCCAGAAACAGCTTGGCTAAAACAAGGCTGAACTTGGGCTGTCAGTGAAAATCTAATAGACATCTAAGAAAACTAGACTAGTCATCAAATAGACAGATTAGACAGACTTTATATGTGTAGTCATTCATTTCTGTTTGTTTGATGATTAGTTTAGTTTTGGCCAATTCTTAGATGTCGATTAGATTTTCACTGACAGCCCAAGTTTAGCCTTGTTTTAGCCAAGACAACTATGTATAAATATTTATTAGACTTTTGTTAGACATCTTTTAAAAATGAAAAAATGCTTGCTGAGATAGTTCTAACGCGCCTTGTATTTTAAAGAGATAGTTCATCATAAATCTTAAAATTCTGTCATCATTTACTCATCATTCAAAATGCTGAAAACCTGTAACTCCAACTAAGTCAATGGCTGTATAATATTTAGTTGTAACATCGATCAAAACAACTTGATCAAACGAAAAAAGAAATTCATAAAGGTTTAAAATTACATGATTGTGATTAATTAATTTATTTTTCTGGGGGTGGGAGGGGTGGGGGGTTATTGGGGAGGTGGGGGGGGGGGGTGAATTATCCCTTTAAACTGCGAAACAATGAGCACTTCAGCCCTTACAGCCATAACACATTTCTGGTTGCTAGGTAATTTCTCTGAGATGCCAATCATGCATGGGGAGGAATCATTGCAGAGCCACAAGTGTCATTAGTTGAATATTTGCCATTTGCACCGTGAAAAGCCGCACTCTCTTTCATTACTATATCATGCTTTTAGAAGAAAGCAATGTGTCAGATTCTTTTAGCAACTCAGCCATGTTTGACAAGTTAAGTTATTTAGCCTTTGTTTTCTGCTGTTGGCGTGATAATCGCTGGCAGTACTTCCAGTGCTTCTCTATATTCAGTAGCTGTCACGGATTATCTGGACAAAACCAGAAAAACCAGAAAGAGTGAAGAGGTATTTGGTAGGACAAACACACACATTAGAAATCAAATAATGTTAATTCTACAGTGAAACTTGAGTTTGGTCAAGCGGTTGATTACAGGTTCTGTTTTTATAGCTCTACTCATGCTAAACTGACAAATCAGATTAATTTCATAGTAAGCATGTGTTTCCCGGAATGTCTATTATATCAGTCAAACACATTTCATGTACTCCTTAAAGAAGATTTGTTGGAAGAACAGCCTTTCCTTCAACAAAAATTAAAGTGGGTTTTTGCAGTGATGCCACTGTTCTCAAAAATCCTTTGTGTTCCTAAAAGGGGAGACATTATGCCCCATTTTACAAGATGTAAAATAAGTCTCTGAGTGTGTGTATGTTTCAAGAACTCACACTTAGCTGATGATTGAAATAAAGCTTGTTTGGCATGCTGTCCCGGGAGAGAGCCCTGAGCTCATAAGAACTCAGGGCTCCCTCCTGTTGTAAGATGAGAGGGGAGTTTGAGCTCAGGTAGATCTCAAGAAACTCCCCTGCTGTAGTAACTAATGAACAGATAGTGATTGCTCTTAAGAGTTAACTAAGTGCATGTCTATGGGGCCGATTTGGATTAGTCAATTAAGAAGTTGCATGTTTTTGAACGGTGGGAGGAAACTGGGGAACCCTGGGGAAAACCCACTCGAGCATGGGGAGAATGTGCAAACTCTAAACGTCGGCTGGTTTGGTAATGACCACAACCAAAGATGTTTTTGCTGTGAGGCAACAGTGCTAACCACTGGGCCACCTAGCCACCCATCTAGGAAAGGAGGAGTAGGGGTGGAAGGGGGATCTTTCAAAATGAAGATGACTATGGTATGAAACCTAGGGCATTTATGGTGGCTTAGGAGTCATTTGATTGGTAAATGATTGGTGACTTGCTTTAATTTCAAAAGGGGGCAGAGTTAAAAAAAAAACACACAAAATATCAAAAGGACTCTGTGACAAACTAAAAATGTCAATAGATGCATGATATGGTGTTCATTTGTGCATCCTAAAACTCCTAAAATTATTCTCTCCGTTGCTGACATTGATGCTGCTTTATTTTAATGATCTAGGTGCAAAGTCTAAAGCTCATGGGACAAAAGCATTAAGGGTGTGTCTGAATCCACTTGTGCTACTTTTAGGATGGAAAAATACAGTTCTCAATCTCTCAATGAGTTTTGGGTGTGTTTTGAGCATAATGTGCATTAAACCAATTAGAGTCTCATTTCCCATTCCTTTTAAGAGTCAGTTGTGTCGTGCTATAGCACATTTGCTATTTACATGGCAGATTTTGTAAGTGAAAAAACTGACCATCTGCAGCACGAGAATAAAGAATGAGGGCGTACTCACACTATGCTATACGAATCATGCCCAGGCCCGTTTCCTGGATCGTTTGAGAAGTGTGAGTGCTCTGAATCGGGCTCAGGCATGGTTCACTTGGCTGGCCCTGGCCCGGTTGGAACGGTTCACTAGGGCTTTGGCGTGGTACGCTTGTGTGTGAGCAAAACGTGCCTGAGTCCGAAAATAAAATCGAGAAGTGACTTTTTACGGGACTGTTTCATACGTGTTTATTAATCATTCTTAACTGTTCAATTAACGCAAACTGTCATAGATTATTAAAGACGCAATCCCCTTATTGCACGACATCTGCGCACCTGCAAACCTCCTAATACTTGCACCACGAGGACTTTATGATTGTTTATGAGCGGCAAAAAGTAGTTGATCTGTTCGGCGAAATATTTGACTGTGTCACCACATCCCAAACGACTAAAACGATATAACTAAAGAAATCCCCAATGTGCTGAGCGAGAGCGCTTACTGACCAGCGCATCATCGATGACGTAAGCGTGCTCAGGCTCGAATGTAATGTGAGTGGGAGCCGTCGGGGGAGAGGGACAAGTGTGCTTCGGCCCGGTTCAAGGCAACTGTACATAGTGTGAGTATGCCCTGAGCCCCCTCCATTCAGCCTCTTTACTTTCTCTTTACTCCTTTACTTTCGTGGATAAGGATACACTCCACTGAAGAGATTCATTAGCCTACATATTTAGTTTTATTTGTTAGGCGCAAATATTTGTTACAAAACGAATAAATGAACAATAATAACAAAGTGTGGTCAAAAAAAGAGTTATATCTAAACACATGTCCTATTCTTATAAGGTGATGCACACTTCTCCAAAACCTGACAGGTGCACAAATCTAAACGTGTTTTTATTAAAACAAATATAAATATGCATTTAATAAATAACACTAATAATAATAATAATAATAATAATAATAATAATAAGATTATACAAATGCAAACTGTCATGAATAAACTGAAAAAGCCCCCGACATGAAGAAGGCATGGAGGCAGTGGTTTTTATGTTTATGTAGAAAATAACTATTTTTGTAACGTTTTAATCCTTTTTTTCATATGTAAAGATATTTGTGTATTTCTGTACATCCTGTGTGTACTAAGCAATGTGTTTGCATTTTGGACCTGTATAGGTGCATAACTAACACACTTTGCGCTTGACTTTAGACCAGGTTTTAGTCGGTCAATGGTGCAGTCTATTTCAGTTCCTCAAAATAGCAACGTGCCAACAATGCGCCTTAAAACACCTCCTTTTTATACTAGAACACCCATGAGTCCACAAAGTGGCGCAAATTGATTTGCTATTTAAACAATGTGGCACAAAACGTGAAAATTAGGGTTGCGCTGGTCTAAAAATAGCAACAAATCGTGCCAAACACATCTTGTACCTTATTGTGTCAGGAATATGTTTGGGCCCATTGTCTTCAGCAGATACAGTGTAAAATCTCTAATGGTGCACGGCTGCTTCTCACTCAGGGCTGTTTATGCCACTGAGGAAGAGATCATCACTAATGGGTGGGTTTTCCTCCTCTGATGAAAAGTACAAAGGAAAAAAATGTCATGTTAAGTGTGATTATAAGAAATACAATAAACACATTTGTAATATTAGAGGCTCACACACTGTTGGCACACAACTATGTTTAAACAGCTTATAAAAGTGATTTTTAGCAAAATAGGTCACTTTAAGTGTGAAGAACATTTTTAAAATTCTAAGAAGTTTTAAAGAACATTAAAATAACACCAAAATGCATTTGTATTTAAATGTACGTTTGTAAAATGATAAGCTACATGGCTATTAAAGACTCCAAAAGCAACATATTATAATAAAAGACTGCAATATGCTTCAAATATTCAGAATAGAATGCAAATATTTTGAATTTCTGCAAATGTGTTTTTATTCATTACTTTTGCAACAATTTGTAAATTTATTTCACTAGTAAATAAATCTTAATGATTAAAAAACACTTCACATAGGTTTATGCTTTTGTGCTACAGAAATAATTAATCAAGATATCTGATACAAGACAATGATGCTATATGCCCTATGTACAGGGCATCGGTTGTCTATTTATAACATCAACTATGAGTGTATTGTCCCTGTTACATAAGTGATGGAATATTACTACCCATTATTATTAGCCATTGCAATGCTGAGCTATAGATTGAGAGCTAGAGGTTGTAAAAAAGCATTGCAGTTCATCAACACTGGTTCTTTGTCTTTAAAATTCATCACAATCACATCAAACTAAGTCAATAAATAACAGTCATACTGCATTTTCACTGATATTTTGTTTTGCTTTTATTTAAAAGAGCATCAAAGGCACATATTCCAAATCTCCATTTTATTTGTTTCTAAATAGTAGTAGCAAATGCACATTGTTAGTAACTGTACTAATGAGTTAAACAGTAATGATCTATTTTCATATTTCAGTGTGTGACGGAGCAGTGTTCTGTACTTGATCGCTGTCACAATGTGTCAGTTTAGCTGGATTGGTCACGTCACATCGACTGGTCCACAGGCGTTAACTCGATGTCACCGATCTACACAAGAGAAAGGAAATAGATATTATACAGGTATATGTTTAAAAAACAAATCAACCAATATTCTGCCTGGCAAGTACAATGCAGGAATTTCTGTTTTAGTATAAAAGCTAAATTATCATATCACCAATTTCCCTTTCATACCACGTGAAGTTTATTTATAAACTAATTTCAAGAGGAGCATGTGCTTATGATTGATCACAACCGGTCCTGTATTAACTAACACATGATTCACCAATCAAATGATTCCTAACTCACTATAAATAACCAAAGTTTCTTACTTTAGCTATCTTCGCCTTGAAGAATCCCCCTTCCACCCCTACTCCTCCACCTTTGCCTTTATAGGGCGGCACGGTGGCTCAGCACTGTTGTCTCACAGCAAGAATGTCACTGTTTCAAATCCTTAACAAGCCAGTTGTGGTATCAGTGTGGAGTTTACATGTTCTCTCCATGCGCATGTGGGTTTCCACCGGGTTCTCCAGTTTCCTCCCACAGTCCAACAAAACTTGTGTCAAAAGTGAATTGATCAATCTAAATTAGCACAGTATATCGCAATATAGCAATTTATAATCTGTCATCAGCTCTAAATAAGGGGTGCAAGGGTGTAGAATTAGCTAGCATGAATGGAAGAGATGTTTCCACACCAATATCCACAGATTATTAAAATGTCCCCACCAATACTTTAATCACCTCTAAAATAAAGTTATGCTTTATCGAAATTTGCCAGTCAGGCTTAGTGTGCAAGACTCAGGTGAAACATGGACATACAGTAAGCGGCTACATTTCAAAGAAAAGTGTCAGTCAAGTTCTCTACACGTCCACCATAATAGCATGGATGTGCAATTAATTAAAATTTTTTTTTTGATTTTGGCCTCCATGACAATTATAAAAAAAACAACAATCGAGATAAAAAGGTGCTTGTGTCATATGCCTCCCCCTTATCAGAAGTCTGTCTTCATTCCTTGTCAGAATAAAACCATCTAAATTTACTTTTGCACCATAAGACATGCTTGATTTACAGTTGTTTTTATTACTAATTGTATCTTTATTGTATTTGATGCTTAGAGAAGGAAAAGAACATGGACATGTAAAGTCATATTTTAGCTTAAAGTGCATAATGGCATTATTATTCTTGCAAAAATGTGTTAGATGTGGTGGTGATTATGCACAAATAAGCTCTCAGTAACCGGAAGTCTTTGTTAAACTACCTTTTTTGTCAGACATTCCTTTAACTTTACATTTAAATTTTACACTTTGGGGGGTTGGTGTCAAATTAGGTCCCCACCAATATCAAAAGCAAATCTACACCCTTGAGGGGGGAGCACTCGAGATCTACCTGAGCTCAAACTCCCCTCTTGCCCTGCAAATGGAAGGGAGAATCTTATGAGCTCAGGGCTCTCTCCCGGGACAGCATGCCGAACTCGCTTTATAATCAGTCATCAGCTAAGTGTGAACTCATAAAAGTAAAGGATATTGTAAGCAACAGCAACCTTTAAAGTTCCCATGAAATAAAAATAAAGTTTAGACGTTAGCATCAGTGTGCAAGTCATAAGTATGTCTATAATAAGCATGCCCCAAAACAGTGACAAAATTAGCATTAAGAATATATAAACACGCAGAGCTTGTGGTTTGTCACTTACACCATAATGGACAACCATTTACCTCATACTTCAGTTTCTCATCAACTTTTTTGACCAATCAAATGCTCACTAGCATCTCACATGTCCCGCCCCCTTCAAAACGTTTTTCATTTACTTTTCATTTGATGCCATTTACTGAGAGGTTCATCTAAAATGCATTCGATTAAAACGTTATTGGCTGTGAAGGGGAGGAGCTACGCTATGTCCCACCCTGTCTTCATGTTTCTGTTGAAACTACATCGCACATTGAACACAAATACACATTTCAAAGGACGTTTAAAGTGGTAAGTTCACCCTAAATTAAGTACTCTGTCATTAACTACTTGCCCTTGGGACTTACCTGAAATGGTCACACTTTACAATAAGGTTCATTAGTTAATGTTACTTAATGCATTTCCTAACATGAACAAACAATGAACAATACATTTACTACAGTATTTGTTTATGTTAGTTAACAATAGTTAATAAAAATACAGTAGTTCATTGTTAGTTCATGGTAACTCGTGGTGCATTAACTAATGTTAACAAGCATGTTTGGATGTTAATAATGCATTAGTAAATGTTCAATTATGATTGATAAATGCTGTACAAGTGTTGTTCATGAATAGGTAATGTTAGTAAATACATTAACTAATGAACCTTACTGTAAAGTGTTACCCCTGAACTCTTAAACAAATGAAGACATTAGTAATGAAATCTGAGAGATTTCTGTTTCTCCGCTAAAAAGTCTGTTCCCCCTAAAAACTGAAACTCATGAAGTCATCAACAAATTATTCAATCTGGTCTTCTAAAAAAACAAAGTCAATTAGTGTGATGAACAGATTTCATTTAGGCTTCTATTTACATTCAACCCCAGAACAGATGGATTAAATGAAGTCTGTTCATCCTATAATGTGATCAAGTGTCTTGAGAAGACTTAAAGCACACTGTCAGGGTTCATACACATTTTTACTACTAAAATTCGATGACTTTTCCAAAACTTTTAGGTAAATATTGATGATCTTGTTTCGTGTTTCAGGTAATGTCTATGTACACGCGGTAAATAAGAAAAAAATGCATGTTCAAACTTTATTACAGCATATGAAAAATATGTGAAAATACATGTAGTTTATATTTATGTTTATATTTATTTTTATATCTGTAAAAGAGATTTTAGAAACTATCTTGCTGTCTGTGGGAAAATGTTATAATGTTGGCTTGTGTTTTCACAAGACTTTTAGAAGATTAGTACAACTAAGCTTTTAGTTTCCACAGTATCTTACCACTGCAGTTAGAGAATGTTTCTGGACATGACACTCACAATGCATCTTAAACTACAGTGAAAGCGAGTGAAAGAGAGGCGAAGTTGAAACTGCTTTTGATTTTTGAAGTTATTGCTTTTGCAACTGAACTTTGCAAAGTTTACCCCACAGAGAAAACATTTTCCAGGTTTTCCAGGACCGGATGAACCCTGCTCAGTTCATGTGGATTCATCAGTTTCTAAACATTTTAAATAGAAAGAGTTTTGGTTAATGAATAAGAGGTTTAGGTAAATAATAAAAGGAACTTTCATCCTAGCTGCTAACTCAATACAGTCCAGTTTATTTGCTGTGTTTATATTATGAGTTTATACAGCTGTGTTATGTCATATCACACTTGTGAAAAGAGAACAAAACCAACTGGTGATGGAAAATATTATAATAACTGATATAATAAAAACCTGATCAGGTTTTTTTGCCCTCGAGTTCGAGTCCGAGTCATTTGATTTTGAGTAATACGTAAAAAAGAAAAAAGAAAAGTGAAGAAACCGATCCAGGATGCTCCTTATTTTTTAAGTAATTTAACTTTTTTTTTAATAATTAACAACTCTGTTACCAAACTGAGCACTTCTGTAAAGTAGCTTGAACAATTAAATAACATCAGTTCTTCACTTTTGGACTTTAGTGCAGCAGTAAATATAAAAAACTAATATAAAACAAACAGCAACTCAACTTACTGTAGGCAATACCAAGTTTACATATCTCACAGTTTGCCATGGCAATGTTGTCGTCATTAACTTTATAAAACCTCCAGACCGTAGACTCGAGTTTTCGGCTTCAAGCTGCTTCCGTGTTCTACTTTGCCGACATTTAACCATTAGAGTCTCTGCAGCAAAGTTAAGGCATGCCGCACACATTGCTGTTTCGGTGTGAAGTCAAGAAAGGTCTAACTCTGTGCCGCCCAATAACTATAGATGTGTGTGTCAGAATTATTAGCTCACCTTTGGATTTTTTTTTTAACAGAGCAAAAAAAATTTCACAGTATGTCTGATAATATTTTTTCTTCTGGAGAAAGCCTTATTTGTTTTGTTTCGGCTAGAATAAAAGCAGTTTTTAATATTTTAAAAAACATTTTAAGAACAAAATTATTAGCCCCTTTAAACTATATATTTTTTGATAGTCTACAGAACAAGCCATTGTTAACAACGTGCCTTACTACCATAACCTGCCTAGTTAACCTAATTAACCTAGTTAAGCCTTTAAAATGTCACTTTAAGCTGTATAGAGGTGTCCTGAAAAATATCTAGTCAATATTATGTATTGTCGATGTTTCCCAGTGATTATTTGCGGCTGGAAGGGCATCCGCTGCGTAAAACATATGCTGGAAAAGTTGGTTGTTCATTATGCTGTGGCAACTCTGGATTAATAAAGGGACTAAGCCGAAACTGAATGAATGAATGAATGAATTATGTACTGTCATCATGGCAAAGATAAAATAAATTAGTTGTTACAAATGAGTTATTTCAACTATTATGTTTAGAAATGTGTTGAAATAAATCTTCTCTCTGTTAATCAAAAATTTGTGAAAAAAAATAAACAGGGGGGCTAATAATTCAGGGGGGCTAATTATTCTGACTTCAACTGTATATACAGTTGAAGTCAGAATTATTAGCCCCCTTTGATTTTTTTTCTTTTTTAAATATTTCCCAAATGATGTTTAACAGAGCAAGGAACTTTTCACAGAATAATATTGATAATATTGTCTGATAATATTTTCTCTTCTGGAGAAAGTCTTCTTTGTTTTATTTCAGCTATAATAAAAGCAGCTTTTAATTTTTAAACACCATTTTAAGCTCAAAATTATTAGCCCCTTTAAGCTAAATTTTTTTTGATTGTCAACAGAACAAACCATCATCATAAAATAACTTGCCTAATTACCATAACCTGCCTAGTTAACCTAATTAATCTAGTTAAGCCTTTAAATGTCACTTGAAGCTGTATAGAAGTGTCTTGAAAAATATCTAGTCAAATAATATTTGCTATCATCATGGCAAAGATAAAATAAATCAGTTATTAGAAACAAATTATTAAAACTATTATGATTAAAAATGTGTGGAAAAAAATCTTCTCTCGTTTAATCAGAAATTGGGGGAAAAAATAAACAGGGGCTCTAATAATAGTAATTAGGCCCAATTTCCAATAACATTATCGGATCTGGACATCCCTAACAATAGCAATAATTGTTGAAACAATAATGATTAAAATGCCTGTTTTTCTGTCTGATTGGATGTAAAATAAGCACAGTCTATAGCTTTTTTTTTTTTTGAGTGAAGATAGGATAAAGAAACTTCTAAAGTTCTCTTTTATGTTTCAAAGTTGAACAAAAGTTTATAATAACATGAAGGTGATGATATGACAGTGGAACTTTCATTTTTGGTGAAAAGTGATTGGCGTTGCTTACTTGGACGTGAGGAGGAGCACTTAGAACATACACCACTGCATTGGTTATGTCATCAGCTTGCAGGCACTGTAAATGGGAGATTTAACCATTTAAACATGCAAGCAATCACTGTCAAAACGTTGTAATAGAATCAGAATGTGCCCGTACCTCACCACTATTATACATAGCAGCAGCCTTTTCTTGGTCATCACTAAAGAGTCGGTAGGCAAATTCTGTCTTCACTATACCAGGAGATATTCCCTGTTAAAGAAAGAGCGCTCTTAGTACCAAAAACAATAATCAAATCATTTAAATAAAGTGTTCTTCAATCTGCTCTTACTGTGGCACGTATGTGTGTCTTGGCCTCTCGTAACTCTTGTCTCAAACCTTCTGTGAGGGCGGTCACTGCGTATTTAGTAGCGGTGTAGAAGTGTCCATCAGCATAGTTAAGCACACGGTGTCCACAAATACTAAAACACATTTGATGATAATGCTTGCTTCATTGCTTGAATATATATATATATATAATGAGTGCAAAAATGTTTATTAAAACTCTTCATACCTGTTAATATTAATGATATGGCCGTCATCGACTTTTCTTTCCTTCATGGACTGGTAAGCCTCACGTGTGCACACTGCCAGGGCCATGACATTGACCTGAAAAATGTGGGTGTTTTACTATCATGCATATCACAAAATTAGCATGCTGATACATCAAATAATGATTATTTGCTATTGCTGAGCTACTTACGTCCATCATAGTCCTCCAGCTGCTGGTTTTGCCACTCAACAGAGGCTCTGGCAGAGCTAAACCAGCATTATTAATGCACACATCAACACCCTTATGTTGAGCCTTGATCCAGGAGAACATGGACAACACTTCATCCTCTACTGAAAGATCACATTTATATGGAAACAGAGCACCGCTGTATCCGCTACTGACACATTCAGCCGCCAGTTTCTGCAAAAGGAAAAGAGATCTTTGAGAATTACATTCCATGAAGGGAACAAAGTTTAAAACTATTGGCAGAAGGAGTGAACTTTTTGTATTGTTACTAATTTGACAGAATATATAACTTTAGTCATTTATTAGCCAGACATATTTGGTGTATTGATTACAATTTATATAACCACAATACAATTCATCATTCATCAAAAAGAAATATCTTTTGAATAAAAATTAGGGATGCCCAGATCTGATCCGGAATCAGAACTGATCACACCATTTCAGACTTGGTCGGGATCAGATGATATATATATATATTCGGCGACGCAATGGCACAGTAGGTAGTGCTGTTGCCTCACAGCAAGAAGGTCGCTGGTTCAAGCCTCAGCTGGGTTGGTTGGCATTTCTGTGTGGAGTTTGCATGTTCTCCCTGCGTTCGCATGGTTTTCCTCCAGGTGCTCTGGTTTCCCCCACAGTCCAAAGCCATTTGGTACAGGTGAATTGGGTAGGCTAAATTGTCACTAGTGTATGTGAGTGTGAATGAGTGTGTATGGATGTTTCCCAGACATGTGTTGCAGCTGGAAGGGCATGTGCTGCGTAAAACATGTGCTGGATAAGTTGGTGGTTCATTCCGCTGTGGCTACCCCGGATTAATAAAAGGACTAAGCCAAAAAGAAAATGAATGAATGGATCGGGTTTCAATATCGATAGATATTCAAAATCAAATGACTCAGACTGAAGGGCAAAACAATCTGATCAGGACATGCCTAGTTATAATTATATTTTTCATCACCAGGAGAGACAGAAATCTCTTAAGATTTAATGACTAGTGTCTTCATTTGTGTTTAAGAGTTTAGGAAAGCCCCAAAGGCAAGTAGCTAATGACAGTATTTTTGGGTGAACTTTACAATATAAACATTTGAAACGTTTTGAAATGTGAATTTTTGTTCGATGTGTTATGTAATTTTAACTCAAGGGCAAAAAAAAAGTAATCTGGACATCCCTATTATTATTATTATTATTATTATTATTATTACTATTACTATTATTATTATTATTTTATTTATTTTTTGTAAGAAATCTAATTTATTAACAAAATATTTAAATATCTGGGGGGGAAACTACACATTTATAATAGTAACAATATAACACTTAGTTTTACAATTAGATTAATTTGCATAAAAATACAAGCTTGCACAGAAACAAAAGTGTAAACCATAAATCAATGATAGTTTTGTGTATCAGAGGATGCCGTACTTCATTTACTGAGCACCTTTACTAAATGACTAAATTACTAAATGACTAGGAAATTTTCACAGTATGTCTGGCAATATTTTTTTTCTTCTGGAGATAGTCTATTTTGTTTTATTTTGGCTAGCGTAAATGCAGTTTTTAATTTTTTAATTAATTTTTTTTTTTTGGGACAAAATTATTAGCCCCTTTATGCTATTTTTTTTTCCCGTTACAATCGTTATACTATAACTTGCCTTATTACCCTAGCCAGTCTAGTTCACCTAATTAACGTTAACCTAGTTAAGTCTTTAAATGTCACTTTAAGCTGTATAGAAGTGTCTTGAAAAATATCTAGTCAAATATTATGTGCTGTCATCATGGCAAAGACAAATAAAAATAAATCAGTTATTAGAAATGAATTATTAAAACTATTAAGTTTAGAAATGAGCTGAAAATTTTTCTCTCCGTTAAACAGAAATTGGGGGGGAAAAATGAAACATTCTGACTTCAACTGTAGACTATAATTTTACACATAGCAGCTAGACCAATCTATTAAAAATAACAAATGAGTTGGTATGAGACAGCCCTTCTTCCCAAAATAAACATGAAAATTTCAAAGAATTCGCGTTTTGTATTCCAATACTGAAACTAGTAAAGCGCGGTTAAGTTGGTTTTGTTTTCGATATTCCTGACACATTCAGTGATACACGGCAATAACTCAAAAACCTCTTACCCTAAAAAGATTTAAAGTGTGTTTCCAACAAAAAGGCAAAGCTGGTTATGTTTCACAGCTGTCTTTTTCTTTTTTTCGCTCGACATTACGAGCACTGCTCTGTTTAAGCCCTCGCAATATGCATTCAGCCGGGAGAGCTCGCGCAGAGAGGAGCTCCCAGTAAGGGACCGTCGGAAAAGTGCATCTTTTTTTCGTTTTTTTTTTTTTTTTTTTTTTTGCTAAAATGACTTGTCATTCACGGTTGCATATGGGAACTTTCAGAACCTCTTCTTTTACCCTTATTGTAAAAAAAAAAAAAACATTAAAAATAGTTTTATAATCATCTTCAGGAAGCATTATGAAAAGGTTGTCAATCACTATAAGGGCATTTAAATTGCATTTCTTTTTACTTGTAGTGGCTGATTTGTCAATAAACAAATAAACCCAGTAAAAGAAGAATTAAAAAAATGCAATATCAGATGTTTTTATTACAATCTGTCTCTTCACCCTCAGTGGCTGCTTAATGAATTGCATTTCCAAAATATTTTTCTCTATAATAGCTTTTTTCAATCAAGAAGATACATACATATAAATACATACATATATATATATATATATATATATATATATATATATATATATATATATATATATATATATATATATATGAACTAGAATGTATCAATAGAATGATATAATCTACATTTTCATGTCTAGTGGTGACAATTGAAATTCACAACTTTTCTCTTTACCCCTAGTGGCAGACAAAGGAATTGCATGGCCTATCTGTTTATTTCAGGGAGACTGGCAAATAAAACTGGCATTATTTGATAGAATGCAAGGCGATTGTGGAGTTGCATGACCAAAACTAACCTTCTTTTTGTAATAGCTTTTTACAGAAGAGGAAGTGAGAGATAAAACTAGTGTTAATCGAATGAGTGCAATGCTCGACATTTTTCACAACCTTTCTTTTTACCCCTAGTGGCCGATTGTGGAATTGCATGACCAAAACTAACCTTCAGGAGAAGAAGTATGAGATAACACTAGTGTTAATCGATAGTGCAATGCTCAACATTTTTCACAACCTTTCTTTTTACCCTAGTGGCCATTTGTGGAATTGCATGACCAAAACTAACCTTTTTTTGCTTTTCACAGGAGAAGTATGAGATAAAAACTAGTGTTAATCGATAGAGTGCAAGGCTCGACATGTTTCACAACCTTTTTTTATTACCCCTAGTGGCTGATTGTGGAATTGCATGACTAAAATTAACCATCTTTTGTAATAGCTTTTCACAGGAGAGGAAGTATGAGATAAAACTAGTGTTAATCGATAGAGTGCAATGCTCGACATTTTTCACAACTTTTCTTTTTACCCCTAGTGGCTAATTTTGGAATTGCATGACCAATATTAACTATCTTTTTGTAATAGCTTTTTATATCAAGGAGACTGAGTCATAAATCCATTGTTATTCAATAGAGTGCAATGCTCGACATTTTTCACAACCTTTTTTTTACCCCTAGTGGCTGATTATGGAATTGCACAATCAAAAATAACTATCTTTTTGTAATAGCTTTTCAAAGGAGAGGAAGAATGAGATAAAACTAGTGTTAATCGATAGAGTGCAAGGCTCTACATTTTTCACAACCTTTCTTTTTACCCCTAGTGGCTAATTTTGGAATTGCACGACCAAAATCAACCATCTTTTTGTAAAAGCTTTTTATATCAAAGAGACTGAGTCATAAATCCATTGTTATTCAATTGAGTGCAATGCTCGACATTTTTCACAACCAATTTTTTTAACCCTAGTGGCTGATTAGGGAAGTGCACGATCAAAATAAACTAACTTTTTGTAATAGCTTTTTACATGAGAAGAAGTATTAGATAAAACTAGTGTTAATCGATAGAGTGCAATGCTCGACATTTTTCACAACCTTACTTTTTACCCCTAGTGGCTAATTTTGGAATTGCACGGCCAAAATCAACCATCATTTTGTAATAGCTTTTTATATCAAAGAGACTGATTCATAAATCCATTGTTATTCAATAGAGTGCAATGCTCGAAATTTTTCACAACCTTTTTTTACCCCTAGTGGCTGATTAGGGAATTGCACAACAAAAAATAACCTTTTTTTTGTAATAGCTTTTCGCATGAGAGGAAGTATGAGATAAAACTAGTGTTAATCGATAGAGTGCAATGCTCAACATTTTTCACAACCTTTCCATTAACCCCTAGTGGTTAATTTTGGAAGTGCACGGCCAAAATCAACCATCTTTTTGTAAAAGCTTTTTATATCAAAGAGACTGAGTCATAAATCCATTATTCAATAGAGTGCAATGCTCGACGTTTTTCACAACCTTTTTTTACCCCTAGTGGCTGATTAGGGAAGTGCACGATCAAAATAAACTAACTTTTTGTAATAGCTTTTCAAAGGAGAGGAAACATGAGATAAAACTAGTGTTAATCAATTGAGTGCAAGGCTCGACATGTTTCACAACCTTTCTTTTTACCCCTAGTGGCTAATTTTGGAATTGCACGGCCAAAATCAACCATCTTTTTGTAATAGTTTTTTATATCAAAGAGACTGATTCATAAATCCATTGTTATTCAATAGAGTGCAATGCTCGACATTTTTCACAACCTTTTTTTAACCCTAGTGGCTGATTAGTGAAGTGCATGACCAAAATTACCCATCTTTTTGTAATAGCTTTTCACAGGAGAGGAAGTGAGGGATAAAACTAGTGTTAATCGATAGAGTGCAAGGCTCAACATTTTTCACAACCTTTTTTTACCCTTAGTGGCTAATTTTGGAATTGCTTGACCAAAATTAACATTATTTTTGTAATAGCTTTTTATATCAAAGAGACTGACTCATAAATCCAGTGTTATTCAATAGAGTGCAATGCTCGACATTTTTCACAACCAATTTTTTCAACCCTAGTGGCTGATTAGGGAAGTGCACGATCAAAATAAACTAACTTTTTGTAATTGCTTTTCACATAAGAGGAAGTATGAGATAAAACTAGTACTAATCGATAGAGTGCAAAGCTCTACATGTTTCACAACCTTTC